CGATGGTACTAGGCAGCCCGTGGCTACATGATCATGATCCATACATCCTGTGGGATGAAGGGGTGGTTAAGTTCATTTCCCTGAAGTGCCAAAAGCATGTGTGGGAAGCTCTGTGGGGGGGCCCACCACTGGATGAGCCTCTCCGTGTCTGCCTGGCCACTGAGGAGTTAGATTCTATCCCCTTGGAGTACCAGGATCTATCTCGGGTGTTTGAAGAAGAGGAAGCAGATTAATTGTCCCCCCATTGACACTGTGCCATTGAGTTGATCTCCGACATAAAATTGCCTAAAGGCAAATTGTATGCAATGAGTCCTCAGGAGAAAGAGTTCATTGACAAGAACTTGGCGCAAGGTTTCATTCGACCCGCGTCCTCCCCTTTTGTGGCTCCGGTCTTGTTCCAGTAAAAGAAGGATGGGGGGTTGAGGCTGTGCACGGACTATAGGGGCCTGAACATGATGTCCACCACAAATGCTTACCCTCTACCACTCTTGAAGCACCTCTTGGCGGAAGTGGCTAAGGGGAAAGTTTTTTCAAAGCTTGATCTCCGAGATGCTTACTTTCGTGTCCCCATAAAAGCTGGGGACAAATATAAAACTGTGTTTAATACCCCGTTGGGGCAGTTCGAGTACGGGGTGATGCCCTTCAGACTTCAAGGGGCCCCTGGGGTCTTCATGACCCTCATAAATGAGGTGCTGCACAAGCACTTGTTCAAGGGTGTGATTGTTTAGCTTGATGATATCCTGATTTATTCCCCTGATAAACCAGCCCATGTCAAGCTGGTGAGGGAGGTCCTACAGATGTTGCACAAGCACAAATTGTTTGCCAAACTGTCCAAGTGTGAGTTCCAATGCTCTGAGATTGACTTCCTGGGTTACCACATTTCCCAGCGGGGTTTGGAAACGGATCCTGCTAAAGTCCGGGATGTGGTGAGGTGGGAACCCCCTTGAACCCAGAGGCAACTTTCTTTTCCAAGTTCAATTTCACCCTTCACCATTTCCCGGGGAAGTCAAACTCTTTGGTGGACATGTTGTCCCGCCTTCCACAACATGACAGTCAGCGGGAGGGTGTGCTCGATTCCATGTTCACGCCTTCACAACTGGGAGGGGCAGTGATGACATGCAACCAAGCTAAAGCCCAGTCTCTGTCATCCCCTGACCCCGGATGGGAGGGGAAATTTGCTTCTGCCTTTTCGGATGCTGATCGCCTCAAATTGAGCCATGAGAGCAAGGTGGAGGAACGTGCAAATGGGTGTTGGTATCGAGGTTCAAAGTTATTTTTACCTTTGGCTTTGCGGGGTGAAATCATGGCCACAGTTCATGGAACTAAGTTGGCTGGACATTTAGGGTTTGTTAAATCCCTGCACTTGTTACAGCGACAGTTTTGGTGGCCCGGAATGTGTAAGGACCTTTCCCTATTTGTGAAGTCCTGTCAGACCTGTATTATGTGCAAACCCCACCCCGGGAAGCCCC